CCTGGTTTCCATGTGCAAGCCCTGTCACTCCTCAGGGATTAGGATTCCCTTCTGCTTCATCTCATGCTCAGTGGAGGAGAAATGAGCATATTCCAGCTGAGGTGAGCATGAATTTACATGAGGTGTGTTTGATTTACGAAGGTAAAAAGCATGTTAAGTTAGAGAGGAACTGAGTTTTTGCTTGTTTAGACTTTCATCGCATTGAATAAAAGACTATGACAGCGTTCTTTTCCTCTGCATACGTTAATTTAGTATTTTTACATTTATATGCTTTTTTTTTTTTAAAGGATCACATCTGGACGTACATTAATATTTATCTCTCTGTTTTGTAGCTTCCACCATCATATGAGCAGGTGATAAAAGAAATCAATCAAGTGCAAGTCAATACAACAAATAACAATAATGCTGCTGCTCCTAGACATACCACTACTTCTGCAACACAAACTGACTTTCCGGAGGAACTAATCAGCCATTTGCCAGGAAGTAATGTAAAAACTAGTGTGCCTACACACTGGGAACCTGCAGGCTGTCCAGGTGAGGCTGTTTTGGATTTCTCATTGATGGAAACCTTACTCTGTCTCCTGAAGATGTTCTTTATTATTGGTCTGTGCAGCATTTAATATTAATAACAGTTAAATTTATGTGAATGATTACTGCTGTAAATTTCTGTAAAAATCCTCTCTTCTGAAGAACTACCATTGCATTCATGGTCAGACTATAATTAAATATTGAAAGTTTTGCTTGATTCAGCCATAATGGCAATTGCTTTGGGGCCAGAGGAGCTCAGATGTCCAATCAGAATAGCAGCAGTGTTACACGTTCAGACTGAAAAGTGTGCAAACCAAGCTGGGGAATTTACTGTACTATTCTTTGGTCTAGATGTTGCTTGCATGTCCCTCATGCTGCAACCTAACAAGCAGTTTTGAACTCACAACGTGTAGATACCATGCATTTCAGCAATCTTCAGTTTCTTCCTAGAATTCGTATGTTTTTTCATTCATCTTTTTAGAAAGAGAACTGCAGTTTCACAAGCAGCAGTAAGTTCTGAAGGAAAACCACCATGTTTACCATCCTGATGGCTGACAAAAAAATAACATAGACAAAGTGTTCTGGAATAGATAACTGAAACCTTTTTTTTTTCTGTTAGCAGGGCAGAGTCCTCTTAAACCTCCTAGGCCTTCTGCATCTCTCCTGAATCGGTGTCCTTCAGAAAATGAGAATCCCTTAATAGTCTTTGAAATTTCTGAAGGTCAGAGGTGCCAAGAAAATCCCAATGCTGTGATACGTCCTGTGCCAAAGCCAAGATCAAGAAGCAACGTCAGACATGTGGTCAAAAATACTGAAAGTAATATAGACAATGGAGAAGAAGTGAACCAGTCTACCACAAAAAGGCAGCAACCTCCAATTCAGCAGTCACCTCTCTTAGATGATAGCTTACTAGACAATCACTTGGCGATGGATAGCATGGGTACAGAAAAGAGCCAAAATAGTATTATTTCAAGGATCAAAGTTTTTGAATCCCAAGGAACTAATGATACCTCAGGATTATCAAAAAAGCCAGAAATTGCCCCTCGTTCATTCACTCCAAGACCTGTTATTGCAAAGAAGCCAGTAGTTGCTCCAAAGCCAGGGGTAAGCAGAATTTCGGGAGACTGGGACACATGGACAGAAAGCAAATCAACACCTCCCAAGGAATTGCAGCCTCAACCTGAAGCAGTTGGGAGCAGTGTTGTAACCAAACCTGAACTGCCAAAGAAGCCAAAACCTGGCCTTGTTAAAAGTAGTAGTAGTGATTTTCTTGATGCAAGGAGTGGATTGGTTGCAGAGAACACCGATGGACAAAAGAAATTTCCTGTTCCTGCTCCAAGGCCCCTTGTTCCTAAAAAGTCACGTTATGCAGAAAATCCTGCCCTTTCTTTGGCCTCACAAAAACCAATTGCTGCTCCCCCACGGGCTCTTGTATCTGCCCAAGAAAAAGCTTTCAAGTCTCTGGGGGAATTGTCACCTGCAGCCAACTCCTCAGCACCTGCTTTGCAAAATAAATTAGATGTGGAAGGAGATCTGATCAGTTTTGATGATGATGTTTTGCCCCTAAGTCCAGCTTGTGTAGTTAAAGATAGCTTCAGTTCTGAAGCAGCAGCAGGTAAGAAGGAATTTTTTTAAACTGTCATTGTTGTTACTCTTTGCAGGTGTATGATCCTGTGAGAGTTATGTCTACCTGTCTTGACGGGGTTTATGTGTATATGAAATTATTGGTTTTCTATTATGTCAAGATCACTACGAAATTACTTGGATTTTGAGACTGGGGAGGTTTCAAGGCTATCTAAATCTCAGAACTTGCCTGCTGGATTTATTACGTGATTATTAAAATAATTATAAAAGACTTTATGTTATATGCTAGATGTCACCTCCAGAATGTATCGCAATTCTCTCTGGGCAACTTGGGACATCTTATCTCTCGCCATCTAATCTGACTAATTTATTTGAGTGCCTGAGGGTTTATAGTGGAAACCTAGTCATCTAGTCATCTAGAGAAGCAGCAATGTTTGTTGCATCAGGGAAAATTGTGATCAAACATACTGAGATACTCTGTCCATCTCACCAGTGCCTACTTACTTCCTCTTCCCTATCTTTGTGTCTTGTCATGCGACTATATGCTTGTTACGCAACTTCAATTTTTTTCTAATAAGTGAAAATAATTATTTCATATGGACAGATTAATTACTACAACTACATCCCATTCATAAACCTTGGTTGATTCCATTAAGCACTTGAGGTCGATTTTTTTCATGCTGTTTTAGGTAGTTTAAGACACAGGTGGGTGTTGGGCTGTCATTAAATTTTATAGCAATAGGTTTTTCCCCTCTTAATATTCAGGTATGTCCTGATTTAGCTTACCAGCCCCATTGCAATCCAGGGAGAGTTCTGCTTTAAAGCAAATGGTGTGTCATACAAATGCTTGTTTAAGGGACTAACTATGATTTTTAATCTTTTTTTTTTTAACCTCATTTATCATTAAACATCTCGGGTTTCTGAAAAGAGAAGCGTAGATACTGTGCAGTTGTCACAGTAAATCGATATTAATGATTGTTAACAAATGCAATTTCTTCACAGTTTGTGGATTGTATCGTTTGATGAAGTTCTGATTTGTTATTGTTTCTCCTCTGTACTGGCATAAAAACCCCAAGGCAGATGCAGGAAGTCCCTTAAAGCCCTAAACTGTTAAGATTGGTATGTACGGACATACAGATCTCAGGGGAGTTTATGGAAACAGTGAAACAAGGCAACAGAAGATCCTGCAGGAGAGGTGATTAGCTCAACATGGATAAAAGTCCATTTTTTCTTGGACTGACGGATTCCAAGAACACTGCAGAAGCTGTACCAAGCCTGGAAGGAGGCAGGAGTATAGGGTGACTGGAGAGGTGTTTCGTACTTATGTCAAGGAAGTGTATGACTGACAGTGTCTAGCTGGGAGCAGAGTCATGATCATCGTGTCTGGAAACTGGAGTCGTGGAACAGCCACTGTACCTGTGATGGTTTTACAAGAAAGTTAGAAGCGCCAGGGATGACTCTTGTTTTCCATGCATTTAGGGTAAAACTTGTAGTTTCAGTCACTTCATTTTTATTAATAGATGCAACAAACAGAGGGAAAATGTAACTGTTCTGAGTAGTAGGCAAGAAAAGAGAATTCTTACATTTTGAAAGTGCATAAAAAGGAAAATGATGTTTCGGCTACGTACACTAAAAGACTGCCTTTCCCCCAACCTGGAAAAATTAAATAACATTAATTCTTCTGTTAAATTAGAGGTTGAGCGATGCCAAATGAAAATCACCTGAAAAAACAGCTTTCACGATGAAGTGGTAAGAATGTCAGTCTTCATCTTTCTGGTTGGTGTCCTACGTGTTATTCTTGATTTAATTAAGAAGAAAATACTTTCCATTCTCGTGGTTAATAGAAGAATTATTCAGATAATAGTTTCCTGACTTCTTGAGCCACCTGTCCATGATTTTATTCATTCAATAAAATGGCATCTTAGCTGCAACCCCTTCTTACCTACTAAAGAGAAAAAGGTCTGACAGCATTGTCACTTTATTACACTGTAAAATTAGGATTCATTCCAGATTTTTGCATGCATTTGTGAGCTCAAGACCATATCCTGTAGTCTTGATTACTAATGCCGTGCTATGTCTTGACAAAGCATCCACAAGAAGAACACTGGCTTTCTGAAAAATGAGGCAACACAGAGCACTAGCATTAGCTATTTCTCATGTTCCCATAGGAACAGCTTAGGATTTGGAAGATGAATCCACAGTAAAATGTTTTGTAAAGGCAGGAAGAGAAGCTCTAATCTTGCTCCCAGTTCCCCAGACCTTTGCATTTCTTACATATTTGTCATTGTCATTACTTAGCAAAATGGCAGCGCTCTGCTTGTTGTTATGGCAACCCTAGGAAAGGAAGAAGGCTTTTATGCAGCGGTCTTTGAAACTAAGCACCAGCAGCTTGTTTGTCAAAGAGCAGTGTGACATCACAGATTACAGCGTTCACAAAATTTAATTTTTTTCTGATACAGCACAAACGCGCCTGGTACTTAGACTAATGTAAATAGAACTGGATGGATTGATCACTGCTGCTGCTAATGCCTGATGCAAAAGTAAGAAGGCGAAGCATTCGGTTGATGATGGGGAGGGCACAAAAGTTGAAGTGAGCCTATGAATGAAAAGGTGAAACAGGCAAAACAAATTCAGAATCTCCACAGCGATTTAGTTGACTGACATAAGACATCAGCTTCCTCTAACAGAAGGCTACCATCTCTACAGTAGTGAAAGATATTTGAATATTATTTATGTGCTAAGATCAACAGTGTTGGCAACAAACCAGTTTATAGTTTCACCAGTTTGTCAGTGTTTAACTGGTAGTTTAACTACCAAAGCTATCTGGATGATTTTCTTTCAAGTTTACCTCAGGCAATCCCATGGCTTTCACCAGTGTTTGACAGCATCTCCAACAACAGCACAGCTGTTAGTAGAGTGAACTTGCCCTTATCCAAACATTAATGGTTTTATCTTTGTCCGACCTATATGGAGAGAGGGAACCATTCTGGTGCAAATAGAGACTCTGGGTACCAAGATCCCTTTCAAAGCTTTCAGCATTCACTCTGCCAGCTGAAGTCTGTGGGAGCTTTGGAAGCTCAACAGCTCTGCAATTCAGAGGTGAACTGTGGCGGAACCTTGCATCCAACTCGTGTCTCTGATGCTGACCCAAGGAAAGTACCAGGAAGGAGAAGTCAGGAATGACAAACCTGTAGAACTGCTCCTTTCATCAGCAGCCAAAATTGATGCCAGTTTTAAGTGCCGTAATTTTGGACTCAAAGGCTAGAGATAATGTTCAAAGCCATTTGCATCCTAATGAAATTACTCCTGTTCAAGTCAGTCATTTAGAATGTGAAGGCATCTGTTTGGGACTCTAAATCTTGAGGTGCTAATGCTTTGATGACAGTTGTGATATTTTGGATCATCTGGGGTATTTTTACATTTGTTTTGTAGCTGATAACAGGGATTTCTGCAGTTCCTGAAGGTTAAGAGTTTCAGTAATCTGTCAGGTGGGCTCTCTTCTCACTAATCCATTTTTACAAAGGCTTGGAAATGAAATCCTAGTGCAAGTTGAACTGAGTGTAAATTCCATGGCTTCAGAAGATCCGTGATTTTACCCGTAACTTGTATTAGTTGCTATGTTAAAGCATGTAGTGTGCCTCGTTGCTAAATGTTCTGAGAATGTGTGTTTTGGACAAAGAAAATAAGGTTAACAGTGCATTTAAAGCACACATTTAAATTAAAACCTGGAGGTGATCTTGCTAGAATGTTTTCATTCCTTTTTGCATGTGGAGAGTTACTCTTCTCTCTCGTCTTCTCTCTCTCTAAAACAGCATATAATTCACTGATTGCTCCATGCCTGATATACCAGAACTCAATTTAAACCAAATGCTTTGAAAAGTAGTTCAGAGAGAGCTTTACCTTACCAGCAGGAGACAGCTCTCTCTTTTGATATCTTCATCGTATTAGTGTATTTCAATTCTAACAGTAATACAACTACTGCATTTTTTTGTACAATTAATTTATTTGAGTGCCTGAAATTAACAATAACAATTGTTAACAATGTGATTTTTGTACAACTACTTGTTCTATCTATCTATCTATCTTACTTCATCGCAGTATAAAAGTTCATTTCTGCCTATATGGTGAAAAAAAAAACAAACCCTCAGCCAAACCAGTGCTGCTATCCATTTATATGTATTGTTCCTTCTTGTGGCATGAATGGTGGAATTTGTGTGACATTGTAGTCAATTCAGAAAAACTGCTGCTTGAGTAACTCCAAATTTGTCTGCTGTGGGGATATTGCCCAGCTGCTTGTTTTTAATTGCTTCCTCAGGAAGGAAAAGAAAAAAAGAACTGAAATATTTCTAACTGGTAGATTAGCCCAGACATATCTTCAGAATAATGCAGCTTTTCTTAGGGTTCTGCTGTGTTACTTCCAATGACTCTTGTGGTGGTTATTTTAAAGTTACCTGTCTCCTTTTTTACTTACTGCCAAAAGTATCATCCCCAGAAAAGAGCGAGCTGTTTCATGCATTTTAATCTGCTGTTTGGCTTAAACCCCTGACAAAACCAGATTTACCTGAAGACATGCTACTGTGGGGTGGAGGAATGGAGGTATGGGTCTGTGCTGTGTCCTATTGGTTTTGCTGCAAGGTTGGCAATCTCCAGCAGAAGTGGTAACAAGCATCCATTAACTCTTCAGATGCTACAGATGTTTGCTTAGTAAACAAAAATTGGAGCCTTCAAGAAGCTTGGAAGTGACTCCACTGTTACCACAGGAGAGAGCCTTATATCTACCTTCTGGAAACAAATAAGGTTTTTAAATCATAGCTACATAATAGATGTAAGCCGTTTAGATTGTAAAATGCAAATGAATTTGCTTTTGAGTTCCATGTCTGTAGATGCTGTTAAGTGGTAACACACAAGTAATAATGTTCTTAATAATAACAACTGTCTTCTCCGATTATTAGATCTGTTTATTTTATAATAACACTTAAAATGCAGATAGCCTTTGGCCAGAAAGATTGTCAAAGAACAACAAAATGCTTA